TTTTTTTTTTTTTTGTCTTTTGTAAGACTGATTTTTTTTTTTGTGTCTCTCCACAGAAAAGAATGGTTTATCATTCATTGAGACTTCTGCTCTAGACTCTACAAATGTAGAAGCTGCTTTTCAGACAATTTTAACAGGTAAGACTTGTGTTTCCAGATTACACCAGTGGGAACTGGAAGTTTTTGGAAGGTAATTTAAACAAACTAATCAGTAACTGAACTATATATTACCTGAAAATGATCATTTGAGAGCTGCTCTAGCAAAAGCGGTTTAGAGTTCAAAATTACAACCCTTGCTCATTGAGCTTCAGTTGTCCTAATTCATCCGATTTATAGTGGGAAAAATATTTTGAACATAATTCATTCACTTCCACTATTCCTTCAGTCCAGGTATTCCATTGTTCATGGTCACAAACATAAAGCAATGTTTAAATGTACTTTTATAAGGTATATGTTGAGATCTCAGCTATAGAAAGATACACATGCCCTTTTGAAATTCAGTAAAGAAAAAGCTAGGGAAAAAACATATTTAAAAAAATTATAGTGACAAAATTCTCTCATGATATATCATAGAGGAAAGGTATCCAGGAGATAATTGGTAGATAAAAGTAGCCAATGATTATTACATACAGAAAAGTTTAAAAAAGTAGTGGGAAAGAGATAGAATTCATGCTGTTTTGGAATGTGGATGACCAGCCTCTGAGATAAGAAGTGTTCACTCATATTTATTCTGACACTATTAGAATAACCAGATTATTAGTAAGATTAGTCTTAATCTTCTAATGACTACTTTGATGGGTTGTTTTTAAATACTTTAAAATTGTATATTTTAAGAACTAATCATTTAAATCGTGGTCTTAATATATAGTACAGTTTTCCATGGCCTTGTTCTAAAGTCTATGTGGAGATACGGTTAAATGAGTTGACAATTATAATGTAACAAGTTTTGATTTATTGTTTGTATGCAGCCCCTGTATTAGAGATTAACAGATTTTAACTTTAACATATTATCTTCTTTTACTGTAAAAATGTTAGAGTAAAATCAAGGAGTTAAGATTTGGAAGCCTGACTTGGGTTCGAGTCCTGGCTCCTCCACTTATTAATTGTGTAATCTTAGGCAAGTTACCTAACCCTTTTAGGCCTTAATTTCTCCATCTGTAAAATTCATACATATTTTGAGGAGTTTTATTAATTCCTTTTTGAGAGAAGGGTTATATTTATAAAATCTTGTGATAGGATTTGACTTTGCTGTTGGGACCTAAAGGTTTTTTGTCTCAGTAACCTTCATCAAAGAATGATCTATTACTGCCCTAGACTCCAAAAATGAGTACCTGTAAAGTACTCATTTTGAATACTTGTAAAGTACTTATCTATCCTTGTTATACGGAGAACAGTTGGTAAATTAGTAGCTAAATAGCAATTAAGGGATGAGAAAATTGGTGATTTATGGACCTATTTTATTATTGTTTTCTGTTATGAAAGAATAGTGTCTTTGGAATACAGTAGCTTTCCTTTAGAAGGTTCTCTGTCAAATTTTCACTGCAGATTGTATTAAGCAAGCAAGATTTGGTTAAATTTGCAGTATGTCTGCAAGTCTTTGTTTTCTTTATAACCATTTGTATGGATTTCATTGAGTTAACATGTAGAGTACTAGATTGAGACCCAGGAGTTCTAGAACATTACGTTTTTATCACTTTGCTTCTACTCCTTAACTAAAATCACTGAACCTCCCTGTTCCTCAGAGTCATAGTCTTAAAACGTGAATTAAATGACCTTATACATATACACCTGTGAGCCTTTTAAGGCCTCAGAAAATCTCATCTGAAAAACTTTTTAGTCAGTCCTCATTGTTGGGATATTTTTAATGTTCCATCAAATCTCCTCTGTTGTAATTCTGGCCCATTTATTCTGATATTAAGTGAAGATGAGCCCAAGTCTTCCATCTGCAGTTAATGATCGTATGCGTCATTTTATAACACGGAACTTCTCATCCACTCAAACATTAACTAGTCAGTACTTAAAATTGAGCCATTTTGTCTTTAAAGATGAGAGCAGTCTCGGTGATGCACGCCTGTAATCCCAGCACTTTGGGAGTCTGAGGCAGGCAGATTGCTTGAGCTCAGGCATCCTAACACCTGTAGAATAACACAGATGTCTGCTGTCACATGCAGTGATCTCAAAAGTTCAAGACCAGGCTGGGCAATATGGTGAAACCCTGTCTCCACAGAAAGACACAAACAATTAGCTGGGTGTGGTAGTGTGTGTTCCTGTAGTCCCAGCTGAGGTGGGAGGGTTGCTTGAGCCTGGGAGGTTTAGGCTGCAGTGAGCTGAGATCATGCCACTGCCCTCCAGCCTGGGGGAGGGGGCAGAGTCAGACCCTGTCTCAATAAATAAATAAAGAGGATGAATATATGTGTATGTTTCTTAAAGATTTACTCTAAATTGAACTTTTGTTACTGCTTAATTGTTGCTTGAAAGCAAAGAAGAGTTTAGTTTCACTTGCCACCACTTTCCTTTCTATATTCACTATTTCCTCAGCTTCCTGCATAAATCTCACTGTTGGTCTGTTGGATCAGATATCACTGCATGTGGCAGCAGCCATCTCTGTTATTCTGCAGGTGTTAGGATGTTTGTTCTAAACTTTTTTCCCCTTATATGCAAGTGGAAGTATTAATGCATAGAGAAAACAGTAAAGAGATCAGTAACTTAATTGAACTTGATTCTACCTTAAATGTTAACAGCCTTAAGGGAGTATTTACATTGTATTTTGATATTGCTGAAAGAAAAAATAGCTTTAAATTTTTAAAAAATTGAAATGGGGTCTTACTGGGGTGTTGCCCAGTCTGGTCTTGAATTCCTGAGCTCAAGCCGTCTGCCTGCTTTGGCCTCCCAAAGTGTTGGGATTATAGGCATGAGCCACCATGCCTGGCCAAAAATTTTGAGTTGTAAAATTATTATTGGAAAATTTACATTATTACTTCAGAGTTAATTGTGTTGTCTATTTTAGTATAGACCCATGGCATTCTTGACACTTAAGAATTTGAAAGTCACTCCATGAGATTTTTTGTTGATGGTATTTTTTTTTTTTCTTTTTTTTGAGATGAAGCTTTGCTCTTGTTGGCTGGAGTGCAGTGGTGTGATCTTGGCTCACTGTAACCTCCGCCTCCCAGGCTGAAGTGATTCTCTTGCCTTGGCCTCCTGAGTAGCTGGGATTGCAGATGCCTGCTACCATGTCCAGCTAATTTTTTGTATTTTTTCGTGGAGACGGGATTTTACCATGTCGACCATGGCTGGTCTTGAACTCCTAACCTCAGGTGATCCACCCACCTCCGGCCTCCCAAAGTGCTGGTATTACATGCATGAGCCACCATGCCTGGCCACTGATAGTATTTTTTTTAGAGGTAGTTTACTAGTATGAGAGTGAGACTGGTAGATTGCTCAGCCTCTGAATTTCAGTGCAGCGTTGTCTTTTCTCCTTAAGTTCACTAAAGGGTGTTTTTAATGCATACCTTTTACTTTTTTTCTTTTAATTTTGCATTTTGACAGTTTCAAATTTAAAGAGGTTGAAATGATAGTATAAAGAATGTGCAAATAGCATTCACCCATATTCCTGAAATGTTAATATTTTACCACATCTGCTTTATCGTTTTCTCTCTCTTCTCTCTAAATATATATATGTATTTTCTGCACCATGTGAGATTAAGCGGTAGACATGATGCCTGTCATGTTTGAGTACTTTTCAGTGTATATTTTGTAAAAACAAGGGCAATCTCTTGTATAATTACCAAAAGCAGAGAGATAATAGTGCCACATCAGTGTTTAATTACAGACCTTATTCAGCTTTTGCCAGTTGTTCCAATGATACGCTTATTAGCCAAAGAAAGCTCAAGATCAATCATGCATTTCATTCAGCGGTCATATCTCTTTAGTCTCCTCTAATCTGGAATAGTTCCTCAATCTTTTGTTTATTGACCTTGACATGTTTGAAGGGTACAGTCCAGTTATTTTGTTGTGTACCTCAGCTTGGGTTTATCTGGTGTTTCCTCATGATTAAACTCAGGTTATACACTTTTCACTGAAACCGCAGAAGTGTTCTCAGGGCACCATATTAGGAGGTTTGTGTTAATGGGATGTCTTATTAATTACTATAGTGATGTTAACGTTGACTACTTAATTAAGGGGATATCTGCTAGGTTTCTCCACGTAATTAATATGTCCAGGATATCTTTTTAGTATGAAGACTAAATTTTTTTTTGTTTAATCCCCCTGACTCATGCTCTGTCAACCCAGGCAGGAGTGCAGTGGTGCGATCTTGGCTCACTGCAACCTCTACTTCCCAGATTCAAGCAATTCTCCTGTCTCAGCCCCCCGAGTAGCTGGGAGCATAGGCCGGAGCCACAATGCCCTACTATTTGTATCTTTTTGTTTGTTTGTTTGTTTTGTTTTGTTTTTTTTTTTGAGACGGAGTTTCGCTCTTGCTACCCAGGCTGGAGTGCAATGGCGCGATCTCGGCTCACCGCAACCTCCGCCTCCTGGGTTCAGGCAATTCTCCTGCCTCAGCCTCCTGAGTAGCTGGGATTACAGGCACGTGCCACCATGCCCAGCTGATTTTTTGTATTTTTAGTAGAGACGGGGTTTCACCATGTTGACCAGGATGGTCTCGATCTCTTGACCTCGTGATCCACCCGCCTTGGCCTCCCAAAGTGCTGGGATTGCAGGCTTGAGCCACCGCGCCCGGCCCCTAATTTTGTATCTTAAGTAGAGATGGCTCTTCACCATGTTGGCCAGGCTGGTCTCTAACTCCTGACCTCTCGTGATCTGCCTGCCTCGGCCTCCCAAAGTGCTGAGATTACAGGCAAGAGCCCCTGAGCCTGCCCTTATTCTAGTTTTGGTATGTCAGAAACTTTCCATGACAAAAAGTTAAAGAAAAAGAGATGTATTAACTGAATTACTACATTTTTTCCAAATTAAGAAATAATTTCTCAGAGGTTGAAAAACAGTAAACTGTAGTCAACTGAATATATAAACTAACAAAAACAAACAGCAGCTGTTTCTTATACTCTTTTGGGGGAGGAGGGGAGTGGCTAAAATTTACATCTGAGAAGGTTGACAGTGGTTCAGATGTGAAGAGACATTAAGGAAAAACAACTAGGATACAATAAAGACAGGCTACTAAAATTAAAAAAGGGATATGAAATCTTTATTTAGATTCCTTTCAGTGGAAAAGGATGGGATGGGAGTGTGCCCAGGGTAAAGAAAAGGATTTTTCTTTCCTTCAGTCATTCAATCAGATGAGTGGCTAAGGAATAAAGATAATTATCTTTTTTTTTTTTAAAGATGGGGTTTCACCATGATGGCCAGGCTGGCCTTGAACTCTTGACCTCAGGTGATCCACCCACCTTGGCCTCCCAGAGTGCTAGGATTACAGGGGTGAGCCAACCATGCCCTGCCAGATAATTATCTTTAAGCTTTCTCTCTAATCTCAAACTGGGAGGCTCTTCTTTTTCAAGTGTAAATTATGTGTGTAGATGAAGATGAAATATGTGACCCACTGTAAGTTTTAACTTTTTTTATAAATTGTTTTGAAAATTAAGTTGGGGAACCAAAACAAAAAAAAATTAGTGTTCTTACATAAAAAACAAATATATGTAATACTGGAAGAGAGGGAAAAGCAGGCTTCTCAAAGAACATAGAGAAGTAAATAATTAAAGAGATCTCATTACAAAGCAAGAAATTTGAGCAATGTTGGTGTCTACAAATACAGCATGCTGTAGAAATGGATTACTGCTGCATTTATTCCAGTTACCAAAAAGGAGGATGTCTGCTAATAAAAATGTCACCAAAGCAATAAAGAGTGATTGGCTTTAAGAGGTTCCTGAAGTAATTTACTTACAGAGTCTCTTGTGGCTGGGAGTGTCATTAAAAAAAAACAACCCAAAACCGATAAGAAAGTAGGAAGCAGGTAACTTCTAGCTATCTGATTAAGAAGGTTATTTCATTGGGACTTTTGTGGGGGAGGTGGGTAGGAACTTGATAAACTAGATCTATTTCCTTCTTTGAAAGGCATGTGCTTCTTTAGAACCAAATGAATATAACAATTCCTATGCAGTTCTCCCCTCCACCCCCCCGACTCCCACCTTTTTTTGGGAGAGGGAGTCTCACTCTGTTGCCCAAGCTGGAGTACAGTGGTGTGATCTCAGCTCACTGTGACCTCTGCCTCCTGGGTTCAAGCAGTTCTCCTGCCTCAGCCTCCTGAGTAGCTGGGACTCTAGGCGCACGCCAGCACACCCAGCAATTTTTTGTATTTTGGTAGAGAAGGGGTTTCACCTTGTTGCCCATGCTGGTCTCAAACCCTTGAGCTATGAGACCAGTCTGCCTACCTCGGCCTCCCAAAGTGTAAGGGTTACAGGGGTGAGCTACGGCGCCTGGCCTTTTAAGAGGTACAAAGGATAGGTAAAAGGAAGAAAAATAATCATGCTTTATCAATCTTTTATCATTTAGATTTCTCTTGTAAGAGATCTAAATTAAAGTAAAATAGTAATATCAGATGGCTTTAAATATAATGAGATAAGCTTTATTAGATTTATTTAGCTAAATAAAAAGGAGAGGCTGGCATGGTAGCTCACGCTTTTAATTCCAGCACTTTGGGAGGCCAGGGCGGGCAGATCACCTGAGGTCAGGAGTTCAAGCCTGGCCAACATGGGAAACTCTAAAAAAAAAAAAAAAAAAAAATTAGCCAGGCATGGTGGCGGGCATCTGTAATCTCAGCCACTTGGGAGGCTGAGGCGAGCGAATCGCTTGACCCACGAGGTGGAGGTTGCAGTGACTGGAAATTGCGCCATTGCACTCCAGCCTGGGTGACGAGTGAAACTCCGGTCTCAAAAATAAATAAATAAGTAAAATAAAAATAAGAAAAAGACGCATTCCTGTTTCTACTGTAATGGAAGTGTGGATCCAGTTGCAAAATAATTCTAAGGCAGTTAAATGCAGCTGTTCCAAATTGGGTAACAAGAGTTAAAATTTTTCAGTCTCTCCAAAAATTGCAAAATCAGCAGAGGCCTAAGATATGCCATTACGGCCTAAGGTGGACTTGTCAGATCTCTTGAAACCCAGTTCACCATTAAGTTTCTTTTTCATTGAGGCAGGGTCTCCCTCTGTTGTCCAGGATGGAGTACAGTGGCGCTGTCACAGCATACTGCAGCCTCACCTCCTGGGCTCAAGTGATCCTCCCAGGTAGCTGGGTCTATAGGTGTGCCACCATGTCCAGCTAATTTTTAGACTTCTTGTAGACACAGGGTCTTGCCATGTTACCCAGGCTGGTGTCGAACTCCTGGGCTCAAAGGAATTCTCCCGCACCAGCCTCCCAAAGTGCTCTAGGATTATAGGTGTGAGCCCCTGAGCCTGACCCATGTAAGCTTCTTGAAGGTAAAAAAATACTCTCATTTAATAAACTGACATGTATTTAAAGTATTGCCACTTGCCAAGAACAAAGCTACAACTACACCTAATTAAAAGATTCTCACTACTCTAATAAAATTAATACCGGAAAACTTTAGCCCCACTGTACCGAGTATACATGCTAAGTCAGGTAAAATAAATGGCGCTGTGGCTTATGCCTATAATCCCAGCACTCTTGAGGCCAAAGCAGGTGGATCACGAGGTCAAGAGGTAGAGACCATCCTGGCCAACATGGTGAAACCTTGTTTTACTAAAAATAACAAAAATTAGCGGGGTATGGTAGCATAGGCCTGTAGTCCCAAGGTACTCTGGAGGCTGAGGCAGAAAAATCGCTTGAGCCTGGGAAGCAGAGGTTACAGGGAGCCAAGATTGTGCCACTGCACTCCAACCTGGCAACTAAGCGAGACTCTATCTCTTTCATTTTTAAAAAAATTTTTTTCTTTATGGTCCCATTCTTTTCTAAGAGGCTCTGTCTCAAAAAAACAAAAAACCCAAAAAACTTTCAACTACAGAATTAAGAATTTAGGCTGGGTGCCTGTAATTGCAGCACTTTGGGAGGCCCAGTCATGCGGATCACCTGAGGTCGGGAGTTCAAGACCAGCCTGGCCAACATGGTGAAACCCCATCTCTACTAAAAATACACAGATTAGCCGGGCGTGGTGGCATGCAACTGTAATCCCAGCTACTTGGGAAGTGGAGGCAGGAGAATCACTTGAACTTGGGAGGCGGAGGTTGCAGTGAGCCAAGATCACACCACTGCATTTCAGCCTGGGTGACAGAGCAAGACTGTCTCAAAAAGAAAAAAAACCCAAAACGCAAAAGTAGAATAGTATCATGAAATCCCATGTAGCCATCAACAACCACCAGCTTATGACCAGTCTTTCCTCTACCTCCTTCCTCCATTACTTTGAAACAAATCCCAGCTATTACTTCATTTCATTTGTAGACATTTTGGGATGTATATCTAAAATATTAGAATGTAAACTCATAACAAAACCACTTAAAAATTGGCAAGAAAAAAGAAAAAAGAAAAAAAAGGAGAGAAATTGGCAATAATTCCTTATCCTATTATCTAAGTAATATTAAAATTTCCTGTATCAATTTTTTTTCCAGTTCAAATTAGCATCCAAATAATATTCATTTATTGCAGGTGGTTGATATGTTCTCAGAGCAGTTTGAAAATATGTGTCTTTCTCTTTTTTCTCTATAACTTTAAAAGATTTTCAAGTATTGCAGAATGAATACAGTGGACACTATTGAATCTTCCTCTGGAATCATCAATTGTTAACATTTTGCCACATTTTTAAATCTTTCTGTATGTATATACTTTTTTTCTCCTTATTTAGTCTTTGAAAGTAAATTGTAGACATTGTGGCACTTTGCTACTAAATACTTACAAATTTTATCTCTTAAGAACAAGGTATTCTCAGTGGGCATGGTAGTTTGGAAGGCGGAGGTGGGTGGATCACCTGAAGTCAGGAGTTTGAGACCATCCTGGCCAACATGGTAAAACCCGGTCTCTACTAAAAATACAAAAATTAGCCAGGTGTGGTGGCGCACGTCTGTAGTCCCAGCTACTCGGGAGGCTGAAGCAGGAGAATCCCTTGAACCCGGAAGGTGGCCTCCCCTTACCTTGGCCTCCCAAAGTGCTGGGATTACAGGTGTGAGCTACCACAGCCCAGCCTGGTTTACTTCTTTAAAGAAAGATTTGACTGGGTGAACCTTTCCCTCTGAAATGGAAAAATCTTTGTTTCTTTTCTTATCCCAAGGGCAATTGTTAAAATAAGGGGTTGACTGTAATCAGTGGCTGTTTGAAAATAAAACTTTATGTATTCTCTGTTTAATTTCCTTATGGTCTTTGATGCAAGTGTATCTCCTACCTCTATGTATTTTTTATCCTATTGATGGGTTTATTCACACTAAGTCTTGTGGTTTCTTTTTTCCTTTAGAGATTTACCGCATTGTTTCTCAGAAGCAAATGTCAGACAGACGGGAAAATGACATGTCTCCAAGCAACAACGTCGTTCCTATTCATGTTCCACCAACCACTGAAAACAAGCCAAAGGTGCAGTGCTGTCAGAACATCTAAGGCATTTCTCTTCTCCCTTAGAAGGCTGTGTATAGTCCATTTCCCAGGTCTGAGATTTAAATATATTTGTAATTCCTGTGTCACTTTTGTGTTTTATTACTTCCTACTTATGAATTTTTCCATGTCTTAAGTCTTTTGATTTTAGCTTTATAAAATCATCCACTTGTCCCGAATGACTGCAGCTTTTTTTTCATGCTATGGCTTCTCTAGCCTTAGTTTAATAAACTGAATGTTTGGATTCCTCAATTATTGTTTACTTTTCATCATGGAAGCCTGTCATTGTAGGACATAATAGAACTTGATCACTTGAAGCTCAGACCTATTGGTCTTGATCAAATCAAACTCAGAAGACCTTAGAAATAAGCTACCATTTTGCCACAGAGCAGCTTATAGGTAATACACTCTTCTCTCAGTGCATTGTATATTTCCACAAGTCTAAGAATTGCCCTATAAACATAGCAGGATTTTGAGAGCTTGACAATTTTCCATTGTTCTGGACATCAATTTCTAAAATGCCTTAATGGGTTTATGTAGTTGAGTAAATTTTGTTTTAAATTTTTGTAAGCATCAAAGTTGATTAGAGAAGGGGGCACTTTTTCTGGAGAAGAATTCTCTTAATAAACACAAGATTGTTACGGTTTCATTAGTAATATGGTTGTGGGGCCATAAGTTAAACAGTGCTGCCTGTCAGGCTGTGAACTGGAGAGACTTGTGGAATTCCATCTCAGATGCCTCTGTTGCAATGATCAGGCAGCCCAGAACATTTAAATGATCTATAATAATTTCCAACCAGTAGATTATGTGGCATTTTATTGCTCAGGCAATAACTGGTTTAATGCTGGTAGTATCAAAATTTGAAGTGTTAATTTTGTCTTAAAACCTTCCAGTAAGTGAAATGCAACCTGGTTTTATCACCATATCCACCAGCAGGCATGGATAATGATTTTAACAATGCTCATGTTTTGAGTTTCGCAGTATATTATGAATGTAGTCCAGCTAAATCTTTGGTTTCAGTATGTCTAAAGAATACAGTGAGAGGTTAATTTCTGCTCCAGTGGTACCACTTAAAGGCATGTATTCTTTTAGTGTGTAAAATGAAATAGTCCCTTGAGTTTAAATAGAATGCATTTAGGCATTGTAGAGACCTGAAATAGTTTTCTTCCACTGCATTGTTGAAATCAATGAAGCAATTAGTTTCTCATTCAGAAATGTGCACACTAATATGTAGTTTTGCTTTCTTGTGGATAATATTAAGCACTTACTCTGCAGTTTTCTGGAAGTTGTGTCAACTGCAGCGATACTATTCAGGATGGTGGGAAGGAAAATCCCCAAAAATATGTATGTGTGGGCTTGCTTAGATTACTATATTTCATAGTTAATCTTTTGTCTTTTGCGGTGCTCATGATGTGTGGGGCACACGGAAGGCATTGCTGTAGTCAGTCATTTTGGTTTTCTTCTATAGCCATTTTATTATTTTAGTGTGTTGGTTATGAAGATAATATCTATTTGTAAATTGCTACTTTGTATTTTATGCATGCTCTGTAATTTGATTTTTTTTTTTTTTTTTTTTTTTTTTTTTTTTTTTTTTTTTTTTTTTTTTTTTTTTTTTTNTTTTAGTAATTGATTTGGAATATATTCACATTCTAATAAACAGTTATAGGGGGATTATTTCTAATGTTGTCAGATTACATTTTTCCTTTGAGTGCTTTGGATGCAGCCTTGGAATCCTGATGTTGTAAAAGCATAGGTTCTTGCATTACTGAGTAAACATTGAATTGAGAGCATCAGTGTGTGAATTCAGCTTTGATTTTAGACTTGCAGTTCAATTACGCTTTTCTTGGAAAAAGTATGTTCTAAAACATTAGGAAAGTAGTGTGTACTTTCATATATAACAGTGTCACCAGACCCAGGAAAATAATCCATCTCCCTTTTAGTGAAAGTTGGTGGTAAATTTTTTTTACAAAGTAAGAAAAGAGAAAAACTAAATAGTGAATTGAAAATGAATAAAGGAACTTAGAATTTTTACCCCAGTGTAGACTTAAATGTTGCCTTGGGTATGGTTGGATCTTGGGAGGATTCCAAGAAATACTAAGTATTAGAAAATGACTTCGATTGCATTTCAGCAAGTGTCTGTATTGTGAGTAGTATCTTAGGAGACAAACTGTCTCAAGCAAGAAACAAAAAGTTTTAAAATTATGACAATTGAGGGCTTAAGGCAATTTACAAGTATTTTGCTGCTTCACCTTGATTTTCAGTTATTTAACTTTGAATTTTTTTAACCCTTTATGTAGTCTTCTGAAAAGTCAGCCATGGTACCTTGATTTGATCTTATGTCATTGTTCTCAAATGCTGTGTTTCTCTTTAATAGTAGTTGTCATTATGTAGGGTCAGTTATTAGCCATTGCATTGAATATGCTAAATTGTAATTATAAGAAGAGGTGCCAGCTAGTGACCTTATATCAGTGATCTTTTAAGTTCTGAAGGGTTCTGCAGAAAGTTAGACTTCGTGAGTTTGGATTGCCCATCAGAGCTAGCCACGTGTCTTTGATCATTGAGAAAACGAATATCTTAATTTTTGTCTTTGCTGACTTGTATTTATAAAACACAAATGCTTTCCGTGGTTAATCGCTTCTGTCTACCTTAGAGAAGAAGCTGTACTATTTAGACAGTTTTGGCCAATACCAGAAGTAAAAGAATTCAAAGGCTGGGTGGATAATTAACAATTTATTCTAACCTGTTAGGTTTCAATTTTTGGGGCTTTGTTTTAACAGGAAAAAATATAAATTGATTTTCTGATGTTTCACAGATAAACCTGGAAAAAAAGTTAAAAAATGAATTTTGTGAAAGGTTATGTATGGCTTCCATTTGCTGTGTAAAAAAATGAACAAAGATTGTGGAAGGATCCTCTTCCGCCACATCATTTAATGGGCTAGCGGAACAGTCAGACTTTTCTCCTGGTTGGGCGGTGCTGGTGCCACACAGCTTTCTGGGATTTGACAGGTCTTTCCTACTCACCTTATACAATAGGCCAAATAAACTGGAGTTGTCATTCTAATGTTTTAAAGAATGATTGGGTTTCCCCAAACTGTAGGAGGTTGATGGTAACCGTAAAGTGATACAAAAGGTAATGTCATTAAAAGTTATGTGAGGGAGATGATTAGGCTGAGAATCAGTATAATTGAGGGTATGTATTCTCCTGAAAAGTGAATTGGAGAGTAAAGAATATTTAAAAGGATGTTGTGTGCTAGGTAATACACTAGCATATATTAGAAAATATGGTAAACTTTGTGGGTTAAAAGAGTGAAAGTAGCTGGTATAATATAGCACTGGACTGAGTAATGAAGAGTTTCTAGTCATGGCTCTTGTGGTCATTTCATTTCTGAGCCTCAGTCTTCCAATTAATGAGGGTACCAAATAGGTAAATTCTGGGGTTCATCCCAGCGCTAACTCTCTAATTCTGTGAATGAGCGCTCTCTCTTCTATTAAAGCCAAATTATTAACATTCTAACTCAAGTTTAAATTTTTTTTCTTTTTAAATTTTTTTTGTTACTCAAGTTTAAATTTAATAGAGAAGTCAAAATGAGGTATACACTTTGTAGAATGTTTTTGGTCTTATCACAATAACTTGATTTAAATGCTACCTTTATTTCCATGTTTACTCCATTAAATAAGATGAAAGCTTTCAGAACATTTATTTGCAAAATGACTGTCAGTATCAACCATATGCATCAAAGTACCATATGTGCTGAGGGGGAGGAGCATTTGATGGGCTGCTTGTTTTATGGCTTTTGCTGTTACAAAAAAAAAAAATGCTGGCTTTTAATATGTACTTTAAAATATACTCATGTCTGGGAGAGAACTTTTAAAAACACTTTGTGTTTAATTTTTAAAAAATTATTTAATAGGAATCTACAAGAAGGTAGATCAATCCTCAGGCTAGCTATCCAGTAGAACCAGTGATTAAATCCAAGTGTATAGGTTTATGTGTGCATGTACATGATATACATGGTATTTTTGGGTTGTTGATATAGTGATCTAATTATTAATAGTGTAAACATTATTTGAATTCAATTCTTTGACGTTTATTAATTATAGGATTGATAGTTCCTGACACAGGTGTGAGTACAAAATGTTATGTGTATTGGCTAACTGCTCTGTTACCAGTACCAGGGATGTAGTGAGAATTAGCAGCCAACAGGATTCCTTTACTGTGATTGAGTTGGTGGAACTTAACCTTGCTCCAAACCACATAATCTCTGGTCTTTTTAACTGCTATCCTAATGAGTAAATGTACTATTTTAAAGCCTATTCCCCTGTAGACAACCTCTTAATCTCTCAGCATACCGTTTTCTCAGGAATCTCTAGGGAAGTGATACCGTTCCTTGTCATATCTTTTAAGAAGTTGCTGAGCATTGTATCAGCCTCTGTTCCAAAGTCTTTCATCATATGGGCCAAAGAATACTGCAGAAGAAGGTCATGCCTGAGACGGGACACTCTGAGAAGCCCGAAGAAGCAACACTTTCCATAGGCTACCTCTGATGTGAAACTAATTCTGGAGGAGGCAGTTAGGTCCTCAGTTACTAGTTTTGGTTTACATTAGAGCGGATGCCTAAATAACAGGACCGTACTTTGTATAGTCCCCATGCTTTCTCTTATCCAAGGATCTGGAGGGCCGTCTGCTAGGCTGGACAGTGGCTTGGGAAGCATCAGCTGGAATGAGGAGGGAATCTGAACAGAGCTTCCACTTTCTGTGGGTTTGGATTACAGCATTGTTTAGTCCTTCTAGCTCTGCAAGCCCGAGGAAGAAAATACATAATCAGCATCCCACTTATCACCAGGGCTCTCCATTTATCTCTCCCCTTTTGTAATCACTACGTTGTAAGATCCACAAGGGCAGGGAACATGCTTTTATCATACAGGTTGAGCATCCCTAATCTCAAAATTCAGAATGCTCTAAATCGGATACATGAGCACTAACATGATGTCACAAATGGAAAATTTCACACCTGACTGCATGTGACAGGTCACAATCAAAACACGGGCATGTAACACACAGTTTATTCAGTGTTCGCATAGAAGTGTACAGCAACCTTTTAATCAAAACAGCTTCGTAGGTGGAGACTGAAAGCCAGCCGTTGGTGGTGTGGTGGTGGTTTAACTACTGGTACCAATACTCTGGTGATGCTGTGCTGCTTAGTTACCCTGAACACAGTCTTTGTCACTGTATTAATGATACATTTAAAAAAAAAAATACAGAGTTTCGCTCTTACTACCCAGGTTGGAGTGCAGTGGCCTGATTTCAGCTCACCACAACCTCTACCTTCCGGTTCAGGCGATTCTCCTGCTTCAGCCTCCCAAGTGGCTGGGATTACATGCACCACCACGGCCGGCTAATTTTGTATTTTTAGAAGAGATGAGTCTTCTGTTGGTCAGGCTAGTCTTGAACTCCTGGCCTCAGATGATCTGCCCACCTCTGCCTTCCAAAGTGCTGGGATTATAAGTGTGAGCCACTGTGCCCAGCCAGGATACCTTTTTAAAATTAAATACTAGCGTGGATGTGTAATAAGTGTAAGAAAATGAATGTTTATTGGTAGCATAGAAATTCAGTGTTAGGAATGATGGTGTTGCAAACTTCCACAGATTGTCTAAATGGGTGGCTGAGACAGTGACACCTTTGCTTTCTGATGGTTCAGTATACACAAACTTTTGTTTCATGTACAAAATTATTAAAAATATTGTATAAAACTACTTTTAGGCTCTGTGTACAAGGTGTGTATGAAATGCAAAATGAATTTAAACTTGGGTCCCATTCCAAAGATAGCTCATTCTGTATATGCACATATTCCAAAATTTGAAAAAATCCCAAATTTGAAACACTTCTGGTTCCAAACATTTTGGACAGGGATACTCAACCTGTGTTTAACATTCATAGTATCTCTCTCTCTCTCTCCCCTTGACAATTCCATGTCAGGACAGTTAGGGAGGGCTGTCTAAAAGAGTGAGAGAGCTAATCTTAGAGTTCATTCTGGTGTAGCTTGGGGAGCTATGAGAATTACAATTCAAATTTTAAAGTTTTTATTAAAAATTATATAGAATTATATTACAATTATATAAACATATCTACAAAAGTATAAAAGTACAATGAACCCCCTATGTATCCATCCATGCACCCTTCATGGAAAGATTTTCCATCTCCTGTTGCTGTATATTGATTAAATGGACCTCTTCATTCTTCCCTCTGGTTAGATGAATAGCTAATGTGTCATTCCTGAGTCCACAACTTGCAGCAATTGCTGTTAGTTACTCATTGTATTGAGTAATATTCTGAGACTTGCAGTGAATAATCTTACACTACTGTCAGTAAATATCTTTTTTTAGTCTTAAAACTCTTGATTATGTTTTGTCTTTCACTGAGATATCAACTCATAGCTCGAGAATTACCTATTAGTACTCTCTTCTGAATGGGTCTTCAGAATATGAGGGTTATATACGTATGAGGATAATATACAAACCTTTGGAAGTATGAAGAAGGAATTTAAAACTTATTTGAATGATCTCAGCTACATTTCAGTATCTGTATTTTATTACAAAATTAATCCTCTTGCTGCTTTACCAGTTCGATCACAAGTTTATGTCTTTAAAGTTGGTAAAACAGATGGACCTATAATAACTATACTGAAGATAACTTCTACTAGTGGAAAGCTGTTCATTGCATTTATAGAAATTAAGTAGCCCTTACGCTGGCCCTTACACGTTCTATAGAAGTACCTTTGTGCCTCTGGAGCTGAGCATAAACTGTAATAGTTGGCTTTGAGTCCAAATATTTACGAAAGCTGAGAAACCCTCTAATTTTACTTACTGATGTGGTTTTGTTTTTTTTTTTTGGTGTTTTATATTTATTTTTTAAAATATATATTTTATTGAACTTTAATATGAGATTTTAAAATAAGTTTTGAACATGCATAAAAATATGGTGCTCACATTTATTACTTTAAACAAAGAGACTCTTCTGTTAAAAATTTGTTAAAAGTTTTTCACTTATTTTCAAGCATCTATTAGAATAATTTTCATTCATCCTGCTGCTTGAAGTACCCAAGCAGGACGTAGGTTAGTTCTACCCTTAAACCTAAGGTGTAGATTATAAACAGGTTTTCCATTTGCAACACAACAGTAGACATTCTTGTTAAATTAGTTTGAGAAATGTGTTTTATTTTGTACAAGGTACAATCCCTCTGCACAGTGAACAAATATATTACAAATCTGTAATTTAAAAAAGTATTGCCATTTCATAGTCTTATTAATACTGTACAATAATGGTTTTTCTTTCATTTTAATTGCACACATGAATTTGAAAATTTAGTTTCTGAAAAATAACTGAACAGATCTTTCAAAGTCACCCATACAATGCACAGTGCACATGTCTAGGGTGACTGAACCTGTTTGTGATGGCGTTAGAAGTTTCTAACAGTTGCTTTGTAAGATTCAAATGTCTTTACCGGTAACTCTTCGTTAGGCGAAGGCAGCTGTTGTCACCATAGATTGATCACACCCTCTGCCTTTCCCTTCTGCTCTGTATTGCCTGGTTTGACTTGTATTACATTTCCTTAAAAACTCATGGAATGCTAGAGCTTGAAGGGCTGTTAGAGCTGTCTTTCCACTCTCTGCTTCTCCCCTTTTTTATGCATAGAAAAAAAAGGAGCCCAGAGAGGGCAACTAATTTGACCAGAGTAACATTGAAGTCCCTTGATTCAGGGCATTAGCCATTCCACCTCTTGCTGAATAATACCTTTGCCTAGAGGACAGTTGACAAAAGAGGCGAAACTTGAAGAGTGATGCTGCTTGTTTGCAGTTTGCCAGGCAGCAGCTCTTATACATGCAGGATAAGGGAAGAAGAGAAAACCTGGGATTGCGGTGAAGTCCTTGCTGATCTGACTTCTTCATGCTTCATCCTTGCTTCACAGACACTTGCTGCCCTGAAATACTGAGGTAAGCCTCTTACCTTTATTTCTTTCTACATATGTATGAGAAATATTTACTTGGGTTTACAAAGTAATTCCTAGTATTTATATTTCAATAAGGCTTCTTTGGAAAGTAAATTTACTATTGCTAATCAGTTGCTTCCATGCACACATGCAGCATTCATGTAAGTATTGTATATTTTCCTCTAACAGTAAAATTTGCTTATTCCTTGAGTGACGTGGGAAGGGGAGATGTACTCATTTATTTTCTTGCTTTTTCTGATAATTGCCCAGCTTCCAATTTCTATCAAGGTTTTCAGAATTCTTATATTCTTGTAGCAATATTCCAGCTTTGCAGTCATTTAGTTCCCCTTTTGTGTATCGTTTTGGAACTGGCTGGACTATACCAGTGAATGGAGTGGTATAGGAGTTGCCATTAGCTTCCTAGGTTTGCCCTTTTTGTTTGTTTGTTTTTGCTTTTTTTTTTTTTTCTTCTTAATCATGTCTTCCCATCATTCTACCTTTAATATAATGTATTATCATTTTTTTTTTTTTTGTTTTTTTTTTTTTTTTCTTCTTTCTTTGCCCTTTTTGTTTTTAATTCTTGTGAGAAGGTTCTCTTTAGGGCTTGGGAGTTGACTTAATTTTGACTCATCTGAGCCTCAGTTTATCTGTGTTCATAGAGGGAGGTATAGACATACCTGAATACTGGCATCTGGAGCATTTACTGTAAGCATATTGAGCTAGCTTAGTAAGTCGTAGTTTAAGATAGAAGGTGGAAGGCCTTCATATCCTCACATGCTGTTTACAGTAACATTTTTACATCATGTTACAGCAACTGGTTATAGTCCATTCTTTTTTTGATCATTTCATTTAGTTCTATTAAAAAGCATAATGTACTTTGAGCAATGTAAGCCTGCCGTATCCACATTTGTCCAATTTCCTGCACACTTTTAGGTTTCATACTACATCAGTCTCAAGATTCATGAAGAACTACTTGAAAGCAAGTACTCTTGAGTCAAGGGGTGCTGTCTAAATAAAATGAGGAGGCCAGGTAGCCGTCTTTAGGGATATTTAATCCCTAGCCGTCTGTGACTCCTTACTTAAAGGATCATCTTAGAGCCCTGTTGTACATGGCATGATTCCGGTGTTAGATGGACTAAGTAGATATGACAAAGCCAGGACTGACTTGCAATGTTCTTGAACTTTGAATTGGCAAAATTTGATAAAGTTGGCCTAGGAATCATCGTTGTAGACTGAAAGAGACACTGCTGCCCTATGTGTGCATGTTTGTGCGTGTTTGTGTGTGTGTGTGTGTGTGTGTGTGTGTGTGTGTGTGTACCTATCACGGGGCAGAAGAAAGTAATCACAGGATAGAAGAAAGTAAAGTCTTGTTTTTCAAAATGGAAGTTGTCAGCATTAGACTATATACTAGATTCTATAATCTTGGCTGTTGTAATTTGATGGACCAGACATTTATGTACAAATATTTTAAGACTGATACTAGAACAGTTCGTGTCTATGTATTGTCTTCGATAATAAAACAGATGTTGATGGTAACAGCAACCAAAAGTACATATACGTTTCAGGTGCTTTAAAGTAATCCTCTTCCCACCCCAGTCACCTTTTTGTCCTAGGAAGGTTTGTTAACCTACATGTTTTTTTAAATATTACGTTTCAGATAAATATATGTATATATATTTGTATCAGCTGTATTTAGCTGATGTTGATGAGTAGCTATGTCTTAAAATCTTTTAAAAATCATATAATCCAGGGCATTTGGGGCTGAGTGGGTGATAAGATTTGCCTTTGAGAACACAATTCCTTGAACAGTTATCCCAGGCCCACCTGGATGCTCTTCTTTAGTTCCAGGTGAACGTAATAACTAACATGCAGCTGGAGCCAGTCTGTACCATTACTTCAAGGGAATGTCTTCTTTCAGAGTCAGAATATTCAGTGGAGCACACTGCCAGAGAGAAGCTTATCCCTCTTAAGATTGCGTGTCCTGGGAGGGCCCATTGGCAGGGCTCTGTCTTACTGGGAGGAGGTCATAATGACCAGGAATATGACTGTTCCTAGGTAGGTCGTATGGATTCTGGATATAGCTGGAGTTATGACCGCGACCTTCTTGGACCACACTGACTGTGGGCTCTAAGAAATATAGTGAAAAATGAGTTCAGAGAACAGATTAGCTTTTGTTGCCTTGTTGGAGAGAAAGAGGGTTCTACTTAACTTGGGGAAAGGAGCTAGGGATTTAGTCTATGACAAATACATGAGGATGAGGACTGAGGCTTGCTCAGGAGATGGAACACTAAGTGAAAGTGCTGTCTAAAAGGGTTTAAAATATCCAGAGGTAGGAGTCTTATCAGTGAGCCCAGGGACATAGATTAAACTGGGAGAAGGTAGAAGGTGATTTAGAATCTTGTCAGTGAAATGAAATTTGTATCAATAGTTGAAGAGAGAGAGAGAGTGTGTGTGTGTGCGTGCGTGCGCGTGTGTGCATGTGTGCAAGAAAGGCAGCCTAGGAAAGACAGTTTACCTTAGAGATTCCTTAAAAAGCAACAAAAGAATGATATGTTGTCAAGACGGGGTGAATGGAGAGGGGTTGCTTTTACTTCAGATGCTGCACTGTTGCTCTGATTTCACTAAGTTACTTATTTGAGACACCTACCAACTTCATATATATTTTTATTAGATGTCGGCAAGGATGGCCCGTCTGTGTACGGAGACCCCACGTGCACAGGAGACTTCATTTCTACATAGCTGCTTTCTGGAAGCTTGCAGGTGAGGATGGGTGGGTCCTTAATTGTGGCGTAAGGATTTTCACTGCTATTCAAGGAACAAGTACTAGAACTGCACACGGATTCTTTCATGTAATCTGCAAGGCAAGAGAGAGTTCTTAGGACAGGCAAGAACACAAGTCTTCATATTAATACTAGAAGCAGACTACAGTTGAGTTTATGTGCCTTTGGGATCCTAGGGCTGGAAAAGCCAGGATAATCCAAGATTTATTTACTTATTAAATGTGTTGAGAAATGCTCTCCCAGGTAGGCAGAGTTCTTTTTCCAAGGAAACTTACATTTTTGGAGGATAGGAACATTTTTATTTTTAGTGATCAGGTATTCAAGATATGAATAATATGCTTTGACACGTATTATTTAATTTTTGTAAATTCCTGGAAAGATTGCTGACAGTTACATTTTAGAGACGAAGACTCAGAGATAGAGTGACTTGGCTAAAGTCACACAGCTAGTAAGTTAAGTGGCAGTGCCAACACTTCAATCCATTCCTTGCACTCCTTGGCCTTTGCGTTTTCTGTGATGATATTCTTGTGAATTCTTCTTTTTTGAGATGTTGTCTAAACTGGTCTCAAACTCTTGGGCTTGAGTGATTCTCCTGCCTCCTGCCTCAGCCTCCTGAGTAGCTGGTATTACAGGTACGTGCCACCACACCTGGCTTTAATTCTTTCCCGTGACTGAGAGGCTTAGGCTCAGAAGGTGACAGCGTGTGTTTTAGCACAGATGTCAGCAATTTGACAGCCTATAAGTGGCAGACTCTTAACAGTATCGCTGTCCTCCAGGAGCTTGTGATCAGAATAGAGTAGACTGAAGTGTATTTGAGGTGTAAAAAGCATGTCAGTCTTAAGCTAGCCTTTGGAAAGTTCTTGTTTTCTAGCAAACCTGTAACATGTCCTTAGGATGCTTATCCCGTTCTTGTGAATGCTAACTAAAACCTGTTTCGGTAGTACCTTTCTGATACTAGAGCTCGTGCTTCCTCGCCTGCCACCTCTCAGCTGTATAGTTGTACCATCCCCAAGACTTCAGAGTACACGAGGATGCAGACTGGTTTCCAAATAACTGCAGCTTCACTGGGGGAAGAAAGGTTCTTTAGTGACTGGCAGTCACAGAAGGAAAGGGGATTCCCTCTTTCATCCCTACACCATTCTCCTTTTAGGGAAGATCACTGCCTCCTGCAGATAGTCCCAAGCAAGGCAGGATTTGCCTACAAAGAGCAGTAAGCTCTCATCTGGCAGCTCTGACCTTCATCTGTGAGGCTCTGCTAGACAAGGGATCCAGACGCAAGCACTGAGTTGCTTGACTTGATAGTCGAAAGTGATCTAAAAGGCATCTCAGCACGAAATTCTTGGGTGATCTATCACTAGAACTACCACAGTTTACATTTTGGGCTGCTATTTATTTATGCTGTCTCCAACTTCTAAGGGTAATGAAAATGGTAAAAAGTGAAAGTGATAATGTAACTCAATGGATGACTTAGATGTACCTTGGGACCCTGAAAGCAGAGCACTGCATATGGCTGAGTAGCTAGATGTGTGACACCACAAGTATTCTTTTATCTCCCATGAAAGGTAACTGGTTGGAAGAGGATTTACTTTTCTGTTAAAGTAGGTTGTTTGTTTCAGCAGGTAGTATTTCCTCAGTCTTGTACAAAATATGTTCACTCATTAGTTCTTTCAAGTGTTCACAACACTCTGTGGTATAGGTAGAGCAATAATTCTCTCTCTCTTCTTATTGCTTATGAGATTTAGAGTGGGAATTGACTTCCTCAGGATCACACTGCTTATCAGTAGCAGAGCAAACACTGTAGAACCAGGCTCAGCACTTTCCATCATAACTTAGCCCAGAAGTAGTGAGGGGTGTTGGCTTTAGTCACATCTTAGGATTGTGGCCTCGTTAGCATATGACTCTAGAGAGAAGGAGAAAACATCCTTGCTAGACACTGAATGGTCTCAGCCATCACCAGCAAGGCCTAAACGGAGGCTAGATAGACCCAGATGCTGGTTGAGGCTCACATGGGGAAAAGTGGCTGTGGGCCCTTGACTGTGACCTGCCCAAGCCACTTAAATTTGCCTTAGTGGGTACTTAGTTTTTTAGTACAGGGGATTGGTGGTAAGTCCAGAACCCCAGCCGGCATGGCCCATCTGCCCCACTTTGGGTTCTCTGAACTCATCAGCCAAGCAGTAAGGCACAGAGCTGCTGTTTTGGAAGCCGAAGACTAGCAGTATTTAAAGAAAGTCTGTTGCAGCTGTCTCAGCTGCATATTTTCTAACGTGAGGAATAACGATAGTTCACTTTATGTAGCACTTACAGTTTTCATTCCAATTAGGTAATTTGAAACTTGTTATATCGTGAGTAGGGCTGGGCAGAACTATTATCACTACTTTACAATGAGGAATCTGAAGCTCAGAAAATTTGCTAATATAATTCCTAATGTTAGTAAGCAGTTGAGTCAGGACTCAACCCCTGTCCTCTCTTGATTGATACCAATCAAGATGTTTTCTCTCACTTGTTCTTGTCCTTATCTCTAAAGGCAAACTGTGTCTGCAGCAGCTCCACCTTACCCTTAACAAGGAATGTTCTTCATCTGTGGGCCAAGCCCAGCTGAGGGAAGGCTGAACTCTAAGCTTTTTGTGGATATCCCATGACCAACTTGAATTACGGCAGTGGGAGAGTCTTGAAGCTCAATGCCTAAAAGAACCTCAGCCAGTTGATAGTGCCTCTCTTCTCATTTTCACCAGAAAAGTCAGGGCTACTTTCAAGTTTTGGGAAATAAATTGTTGGCTCTGGAGCCGGGGGTGATCCTAAATGGATAAAAGAGAAGTTGACGTTTGTGGGGAGGGGATTAAGCTCAGGGAGAAGTATCCTCCACACAGGGGCAGAGGATGGAGAAACGCATGTGTGTGTTGGCTGGGTGGTGAGAAAAGGGCGTTGAATTATGGACTAATCTGTACCCCATCTACTGGGACTGGAGAATGGGGAGGGGCTAGGCAAGTTGGAAACTCCACCTCAGGAAGCCACTTTCTTCTCCAGCTGAGTCATCCACCTGCCTGCAAGAGAGGAGGGCAGGGTTGAGGGGAAGAATAACCAGCTGCTCTTAGATACTTCCTCATCCTTTTACAGCCCCACCCCTGTCCCTAGTCCCAGCCCTTCAGGGTATTTTGCAAAGCGGAAGTATCAACTCAGGCTACCCAAGCTCTGGGAGTCGCTCCTCCAAGGCTTGTAATTCACATCAGGGTTGGTGGCTTGGTCCTATCATGCCCTGGCATTTGCTCTTATCTGGTTCCTATTTCCCCACCTAGTCATACACTGTCAGAGACAGAGGGGGCTCCTGAGATGAACTAAACATTTTCATTTTATAAAGGATGCATCGAATCCAGAGAGAGGCAGTGACTTTCCAGGACCACCTTGTATGTGGGATCTGAACCCACCTTGGCTTCTAGGGGCATGCTAACCTCCATTAAAGCCCAACTTAACTGTTAGGGATAAACCCAGGCACTGAACATCCATCTCTTGCTTCTTAGCTTGCAACTATTAATAGAAGGCCACACTGCCTCTTCTCTTCCTGGGCCATAAATTAGCATCCTTCTCTTGATTAACAGATAGGAGGAGGGGAGGAGGTCTCAGGGTCAGAACACTGGCTTTTTTTTTTTTTTTTTTTTTGGGCAAGTCTTGCTCTGTCGCCAGGGTGCAGTGGCACCATCTCGGCTCACTGCAACCTCTGCCTCCCAAGTTCAAGTGATTCTCCTGCCTCAGCCTCCCAAGTAGCTGGGAGTACAGGTGTCTGCCACCATGTCTGGCTAATTTTTGGATTTTTAGTAGAGACGGGGTTTCACCATGTTGGCCAGGATGGTCTCTGGCTCTTGACCTTGTGATCTGCCTGCCTCAGTCTCCCAAAGTGCTGGGATTACAGGTGTGAGCCACTGCGCCCAGCCAGCACACTGGCTTTAAGAAGTAATCTTCAAGATGTCATTGGGCTCCTAACCTGAAGAGCCCAAGTTTATGCAAAGAGAGACTTGGAAGTTAGATGGCAAGGAGCACACAGTGGAGGGGGGGGTGGGTGGGCGGGGGGGTGGTTGGAAGCGGCAGCAACAGTGGGCTCAAGGATTGCAGCATCATAAAGGCCATGGAGAAAAGCCGGGAGGATTTCTTCTTTAGCACTTTGAAATGCCTGACAAGGAGTTGAACACGAGGCAGTTTGTTCCAGGATCATTGTGCTGGAGGGAGAAGGGGAAATAGAAGGGTGTTCAGCAGTGTAAGTGGTCTCACTTAACCTCCAGGATGACAGTGAGTGGAGTTCTTCAGTAAGTAACGGGAAAGGGCAGGCATTGATTAAAGGCTTTTAGAACGTTAGAGTTTGAAAGGGCCTCAGAGATGCTGCTAGTGCAACTCCATCGTTTTATAGTGGAAGAAGCTGAGACCCGGAAAACAGTGCTGTGACCCAGGCAGCACCAGACAGCAAGAACTACAACTCAAAGTCCTTAACTCCTAGGCTAGGACTTTTGCCCATTGAGTTCAGAGAACACTGAAACTCATAATTCTTAGTGGTTCTGATTGTTTTGGGCCAATAGTTTTAGGAACTAGTTTCATTCTGTCTACAAGCTAGTATATTAATTGTTTATTTGGGGGGCATTAGCCAATTGGTGGGATTTATTCCATATTTTGATAAATATTTCTGTAAAATTCTGAACTGTGACATTACATTTTCTCCTTTTCAGTTCTCTTATTCTGATGTATCGGTCCTCAACACCTGCTGGTACATTTGCTTACGTGGCTGTTTTTTACTCTTTAAAGGATGATTGTAGCCAGAGTGGTAAAATAAAATCTGGCTGGCTGCCTGCTGAGCTCGCCCTTGCACTCAGAGGTCAGATATATGAGTCCATACAATAGGAATGAAGAGAATGCTGAGGCAGAGACTCTGTTTTCCTGAGCTTTGTTTTACATTTGTGATCGTGAATCTGAAAGTGACCACCCTAATCACAGTGTACAGGACAACACAATGCGTAGGACAGTTGTGTGTTCATTTATTGAGGTGTCTGGGCCTGTTGGAGCTTATTCACGCTTGAGTCATGCATGTTCTGGAGCTAGAAAGGCTCTTAGAGATCTTTCAGAAAGAAACTGAGGTTCTAGGTCATAGTCATGAAATAGTAGAGCTGCTCTTGGTTTTCAGCCTTACCTACTGTAATGGTGCGTCTCTTCATTTGGATGGTTTAAAAGTCAAAACTCACAGAAAATTGCCAAAATAATGTTTCCAAGGAAGTAATGTCTGTTGGCTGGCTGGGAGGCTGGGGATGACCTTTGTCCTCAGGCAGTTCTCTTGGGCTGCACCTACCCTAACAAAGGCCGACAGTGAGTCGGCCTTATTGCTGTCTTGTTCAGAACACCATACTCACCACCACCCCTGCCCTGAGCTCACCCCACATCTAATAACCATCTCCCCAAAAGGAGTGCGGTCGACGAGCTGTTCTTGATTAAGGAATGGTTGTGTCTTGGTATATGTAAGGCTAGGTCTGAAAGACTAGAACAATAATCAGGTTTATCTGGGTCAGTTTAGACCACTGGTTTCCACATGATAGTTGCATAAGGATACCCTGAGGGTGCTCTTCACAGATGCAGATTCCAGGGCCCCACTAGATCTACTGCATCAGAGTCTTGAGGAGATGGGGTGTGAACGTCTGTATTTTTAATAAGCTTTCCAGGTGATTCAGGATATCCACTGGGACCTTTGCTGTCATCTCTCTTTCAGTTTAGCTTAAGCTCTTTTTTTTTTTTTTTTTTTTTTTTTTTTTTTTGGTTTTTTTTTTTTTTTTTTTTTTTTTTTTTTTTTTTGTTTTTTTTTTTTTTTTTTTTTTTTGGGCAAGTCTTGCTC